AACAGAGCAAAACTCCGTCTCAAAAAAAAAAATATATATATATATATATATATAAATTCTTCTGTCTCAATGGTTGTAGAACACTGGTGGAAATGGGTGAGTCAATTTTTGAAGAGAACCAACCGATGAGCTACTTGAAAGCGGAAATGCTGCTTTGAAAATCCTCCAGGGCAAGAACCACCTTCCCTTACTTTTGTGGCAACAGCAGTTCTCTCTGCAGCTATGTGGAGACTTTAACGGTGTTTATCTGGGACACTTTCCAGAAGTGTCTTGCAGCAGAACCTTGCTATAAAGTTAAATTGTGTGAAACTAACAATGATTTTTCCATGTGCAAGGGAGGCTAGAAATATCCCAGACATAACAAAAGCAAAATGAGCACAATCTGTTTCCTATCTTTAAGATAGTTTCAATTCCAGAGGGAATTTAAAAGTTTGGAGTTTAAAAAGCCAAACAGATCATTTATCATAGGTCTAATGTATTAGTGGCCACATGTACACAATTGATCAAAGCATCCTGGCTATTTTTATAATCCGCTGGTAGTTCCTACATCAATTGAGGTGATACAAATGATCGCTCAGCTCTGGTTGTTATGTTCACAGAGATATGGTGGTATTTTTTAACTTCTCACCTTAGAATTGGTTTTAACTTCAAGAGTTGTGCTTCCAAGATTTCTATATTCCTCTACCACCCACAAACTCCACAATTCCCACTGTAAACAACAGCTGCTGCTCTGACATTTCACTCCTGTGAAATGAAATGTGCTTTACTTCCCTGGCATCAAAAAGGGCATGATATATACTCCTTGCCTACCTCTCCAGTCTTATCACCTGATATCTCCACATCAAAATGTACACATTAGCAATATATGTCTAATCCCCTCTCCCTGAGTATGGACTGGATGGAGTCACTTGCTTCAAAGGAGCAAAATACAGAAAAAGCGATTCGCTTACAAATGACTGTGTCTTTGATCATGGTGGCACTCTCCCTTACCCTCTTACCTGCTCTGCTGAAGCAGGCCATCATGTTGGGAGATGCTCTGTGAAGAGGCCTACACAGCAAGAAACAGAGGGAGGAACTGAGGCCTCAGTCCAACCACCAAGTATGGGAGTGAGCTGGGAGGCGGATCCTTCCTGGTCAAGCCCTGAGATGACTGCAGTCTTATGAGTGACTCTGAGCCAGAGGTGGCCTTCTGGTGTGCAGAACTGAGATAATAAATGTGTGCTGTTTTAAGCCACTATGTTTGGGAGTAATTTGTTACGCAGCAGTAGGTAACTAATACATTCACCCAGCAGGGTGGTTATGAGGATGAAATGAGGTCATATAAGAAGTATTTAGCAAAATGCCTGACACCATAGTGGGCACTGCACAATTAGCTCTATTCTCCTTCTTCCATCTATTTCCACTGCCACCCCCACGGTCCAGGCACCCATCGCTTCATGTCTAGATTCCTGCAACAGTTTTGCAAATAGTTTCTTCACTTTCCTTTGTCCACCTGGTTGTCTTCTTTAAAAAACAAATAGATAGCTTGCTATTCCTCAAAAGATAAAGACTGATTGACATTCAAGGCCCTCCAGGCTCTCTCCAACCTGTATTTCCAAGTTCATTTCTCATTACACTCTCACACCTCACTACCACTCTACCAAGATCAATATATTCACTATAACCCAAATATATGTTGTATACTCCCACCCTAGTAACTGTGCTAATGAAATTTTACCCATTCAGTATTCATTCTCTCTTTTCTCCTGAGTTCCAAACCACCACTCTCCCTACCCCATCACTGAAAGTATCATTCCTCCACTAAGCTTTTCCAAACCTCATCACCCCATGATGATTTTTTTCCTTCTCTACATTAAGAATATTTACTCATTTGGCATGCAGGAACAAAAGTTCTCTTGAAGCAACTCATGAACAAATACCTAGAGTGTTAATGTTACTATGAACAATGTTTTTCTAATATGGTATCAGATCTGCAAAATTCCGCATTTAAAAAAAAAAAAAAATGTGGCCAGGCACAGTGGCTCACGCCTGTAATCCCAGCACTTTGGGAGGCCAAGGTAGGCGGATCACTTGAGGTCAGGAGTTCAAGACCAGCCTGGCCAACATGGTGAAATCCCGTCTCTACCAAAAAATACAAAAATTAGCCAGGCGGGGCGGTGTGCTCCTGTAGTCCTAGCTACTGAGGAGGCTGAGGCGCGAGAATCACTTGAACCCAGGAAGCAGAGGTTGCAGTCAGCTGAGATTACACCCCTGCACTCTAGCCTGGGCGACAGAGTGAAACACTGTCTCAAAAAATAAATAAATAAATAAAAATAGAAATAAAAAATGAAAGAAGTCGGGCCTCTTTCTCATGACACCTCAGAGACGATCAGCTGCTTCAAGATGCTTCAGTGATGAGGTAGGGAGAAAGGTGGTTTAGAACTCAGGAGAAAACAGGGAAGGAATACTGAATGGGTAAAATTTCAAGATAAAAAGCAAACCACGCTTTTTATGAGAAGCATATGGCCACAGAAGTTGCTGCTGGCACTCTGGGTAAACACTGGAAGGGTTACGCAGTCTGAATCAGTGGTGGGAACAAGGTTTCCTCATGAAGCAAGATGTCTTGACCCATGGCCATGTCTGCCTGCTGCTGGGTAAGGGGCATTCCTGTTACAGACCAGGGAGAGCTGGAGAAAGAAAGCAAGTGTGCCTTGTGGATGCCAATCCGAGCATTCTCAAATTGGTTATTGTTTAAAAAAAAAGGAGAGAAGGGGCCGGGCGCGGTGGCTCACGCCTGTAATCCCAGCACGTTGGGAAGCTGAGGCGGGCGGATCACAAGGTCGGGAGATCAATACCATCCTGGCTAAAACGGTGAAACCCCATCTTTACTAAAAATATAAAAAATTAGCCAGGCATGGTGGCCGGCGCCTGTGGTTCCAGTTACTCGGGAGGCTGAGGCAGGCGAATGGCGTGAACCTGGGAGGTGGAGCTTGCAGTGAGCCAAGATTGCACCACTGTACTGCGGCCTGGGCGACAGAGTGAGACTCCATCTCAAAATAAATAGATAAATAAATAAGGAGAGAAGGATATTCCTGGGCTGATCTTATGGTGTCTCATCTCCTGGGGCCCAAGATCTAGCAGAATCCGCAAACTTTTCAATCTCTTTCAAGAAGATGATATCTGCCAGTTTGTCATAAGCAAGCACTTAAACAAAGAAGGTAAGAAACCTAGGACCAAAGTACCCAAGATTCAGCATCTTGTTCCTCCACGTGTCCTGCAGCACAAACACCAGCATATTCCTCTGAAGAAACAGTGTATTAAGAAAAATAAGGAAGAGGCTCCAGAATATGCTAAACTTTTGGCCAAAAGAATGAAGGAGGCTAAAGAAGAGTGCCAGGAACAGATTGCCGAGAGACACAGACTATCCTCACTGCGAGCCTCTACTTCTCAGTCTGAATCCAGTAAAAAATAAGATTTTTAGCCAGGCACAGTGGCTCATGCCTGTAATCCCAGCACTTTGGGAGGCTGAGACAGGGGGATCACGAGGTCAGGAGATTGAGACCATCCTGGCCAAAATAGTGAAACCCCATCTCCACTATAATACAAAAAACTAGACGGGCATGGTGGCGCACGCCTGTAGTCCCAGCTACTCAGGAGGCTGAGGCAGGGGAATTTTTTGAACCTGGGAGGTGAAGGTTGCAGTAAGCCGAGATCACGCCACTGCGCTCCAGCCTGGTGACAGAGCAATACTCGGTCTCAAAAAAAAAAAAAAAATTAAATTGAGTAACAAATAAGTAAGATCAGACTCTCAAAAAATCTGGAAATATTCAAATTGTCCCTTTTCAGAGTCTGTGTTTCGGAGTCAGAAATAACCTGAATGTTAAACATCCAGTTTGCAATTTATTTGCTGAATGATCTAAAGCAAATAGCTTAAACTTGCTCAACTTTAATTATCTTACCAACAGAATGAGAATACCAGCTTGCAGGGTATTTGTGTGAATTAAAACATAAAGTGCCTTCATAAATAATGGCTATCTGCCTTTCAAGTAATCAAACAAAACATTCTACATATAGAACATTCAAATTGTTTGATAACTAAAATACATTAAATATAATTGAGTGGCCATTTGCATTACTGTCAAACTTTGTATTTCTGCAATCACTAAAAAAGACTACTCTTTGCAAATTTTTCTAGAACAGTAATCACTGCAAAAGCCCTTTTACCATTTTCAGGCAACAACATTCTGGGAATTTATTGTATGCCAGTTGCTATGTGGAGAGAAATTCAGAACCCTGCATTTAAGAAATTTACAATACAAACAAGAACACAGAACAGTCTTTTGTGCAAAGTAAGCAAATACTTTCTTGTGGATTTAGTCACAAGGAAAAGATCCCAGAGAAGAATGCCAAGAATACAGTAAGTTTAAAATCAGAACAAAATGGGATCAATTAGGAAAAACTAAATACAGGAAATACTTTATATGGTAGTTGATCCTTTTTATGCTGACTGTAGAGTTTAAAATATATGATAATTCTGCAGTCTTCTGAGTTAAAATTATTCAAATGCCCATAAGGTTCAGAAATTCAGATGAATACACTGAATAAATAATTTACTGATATTCCATGATATGTTTAATGTGTTGTTCCTCACTACCAATTCATAATTCAATACACTGTGCAAAATTGTAATAAACGATGTGCTCTAAAGCAGCATTTCCACCAATCTTTGTACATGTATCCACAACACATTGCCTCAGATGATTTTTCACTGAATCCACTTTTGCCTTCAGCACACCCAACAAGTAGTAATCAAGAGAGTTCAATCTATCAAAAATATATATAGTCTCCAGACTTTGTGGTCACTTGAATTTTATTTCTTATAAGATTCACATACTCGAAGTCATATAAGCATTTTTAACCATGTATATTATACCAAGTAAAAATGAGTACTAAAAATGAGGTAATGGAGAAAACAACAAAATTAGATTTCTTTTGCTTTCAAATAATTCCACACCAAAACATTTTGCTGGAAATGAAGTGATTTTTAATTTATAAATAAAAAACTCTCTAAATGATTTTCAGAATATATTACAAGTTTAGTTTTAAATAGACTTAAATTTATAACAGGTCTTACAATGATTTCAATAAATAGGGACTCCAGAGCACAATGTGGAGGTACAACAATCACGTGCTGACCTCTTAATATTCCAAGGGAATCAAAATCTTTTTCAAACACAGAAGGAAACTGGGCTTTGTACAGTGTTAACCCCAATAGCTATTCTCCTTTATAAACTACAATATTATTGTCAGTTTCATATACTTTTACTTTATAAAGAACTCCTACAGGAAGAAATTTCTGGAGGTTGTCCCAGATATAAACAGCTACATTTTCAGTCGTGCTACAGGAAAACAAACAAACAAAGAAACAAAAATTCAAAATGCAAACAATAAAATTTCACGTTTAATATTTATACAGAATAGAAATTCTAGTTTTGAAAGATTTAATTAAAACTTCAGAAATCACACAACAATCAAATATTCAAATCAATTCTCATTTTACAATCTATACAAAACAAGGTATAGTGCCACCCACCTCACCACATCTGCAAAGTATGGCACATCCATATCCAGATTCTTATGATCAAGGGGCTGCATAATAGCCTCCTAGAGACAAAACCAAGGGAAAATATCATTGGCTCCATTTATGACTCAAATTCCAAATTGTTACACTTATGTCTCTAAACCTCACCTTATCACTTAGCCACTAACTAAATACTTGTAAGTACTAGATTTGAGTCTTACAAAGCAACCTTACAAAATTTTAAGTTGTGAAATAAAGTTAGGCCCAGCTGTTGGTAATGATTAGGAACCCTTGTTACTGAATAAAAAGAGGTGAGAAACCAAAAAGCAGAGAATCCTGGAGCTTTCTCGCAACACAAGCCACTGTAATTCAGAATTCAGTTTAGCACTCTGGGAATCCTGTCCAAAGAGTTAGCATAAATATTTTTCCGTAACACTGTCACACCTACGGAACAATGCCACAATATCATGAGGACAAAGATCCAGTGACTACTACATTTTATAAAGCAGATCTGACCGAAATTATGTAAGTAGTTCTACATTTCTGCTATGAGGAGTAATTTAAGAATGGTTTTGGGCTCACAGAAGGAAAAGTACAAATATGTAAAGACTATTACTCCCTAATGCTCATGTATATTAACATAATGTTTTTCCTCATCATCAGCAAGGATTAAATTGCCTTATTCTTTCTTTGCTTTTTGCTTTTAGCTACTGTTAAAAATCTAGAATTTGTGAAAGAAAATATAATTTTCCATACGGTGTAGTTTCAAGAAGGGTACATTAATAACAGTAATAGCAATCATTTCTTGAGAAAAGCTAGAATCATACAAAAAGAGTAAGTCCTAGATCAAATGGTTGTTGAAATAGATCCAATGAAGGGATGTTCCACACGAATAGCAAAAACATAGGTATGTTTGCTTCATCTTCAATCCCAGTTCCAGTCCCAATTTCTCCAGTAAAGCCTCTTATGCAGGACTTTTTGTTTTCTTTTGTTTTGTTTTTAGAGACAGGGTCCCTGTCATCCAGGCTGGAGTACAAGTGGCACAATCACAGCTCACTACAGCCTTGAACTCCTGGGCTCAAGCAATCCTCTCCCCATGGTAGGGTTCTAAGTTCACTCTATATGCCACGATGAGTCACTTTCACTGATGAAAGTGTGTGGTGTCCTTCAGGCACACAAAAGCAGAAAACAGCATAGAGAACCCCTCCTCCAGTATTTAGTCATATGTTGAGGGCTTTTATGTTGCTTTCTTATCTCTTTCCTTTCTTTCTTTTCTTTTCTCTTTTTCTTTCTTTTTCTTTCTTTCCTCTCCCTTCTAATTTCCTCCCCTCCCCTCTACTCTCCTCCCCTCTCTTCTCCTCCTGTCTCTGTCTCTCTCTCTCTCTCCCCCACGGTCCCCCCAACCCCTGCCCCATAAATGCATGCAGGCCCTATCTCTATAACTTTCCTAAAGTACTTTGAGCACAGTGCTGTTTCTTCATTCACTCATTCTTTTCCTCATTTATTAAATCAACAGTTATTTAACAATTACTATTCTTCACCTCCTAGAAAAAGTAATGTATACACTCTGTGGGCTACATCTCATTCATCTTTGTATACTTAGCTCACAAACTGATGCAAAGTAGACAAATTTGTTGAATATATGAATAATGTGAAAGAAGTAAACATCACTAATAACATCATTTTAATAAAGCAAATGTCAAATTTCAGAACAAAACTAAGCTGCAAGTGAAATGACGGCATAATAACCAGCTGGATGGAAAGAAATCTACTCCCAACATTGCAAATAACTAGCCACACGATCTGCGGCAAGTCCGTTAACTGTTCAGCATCTCTCAATCTTAATCTACGGATTGAAGAAGTTGGTTTGAATAATCTCCAAAGTCTCTTACAAAGCAAGAATTCTATAATGACACAATCAGTTAAGTTCTTCACTGAACCCCTTGTGTGTTATCTCTATGATGTACTGCTCTGGTGGGTTTATAATAAATCTAGAGTGAATAACATGGTGTGGTATCTAAATCTATGATCAAAGGTACAAGGAATATTCAGAGAGGGAAGAGAAAGCTCCAAGGAGAAGGCCAGGAGCAGTGGCTCATGCCTGTAATTCCAGCACTTTGGGAGGTCAAGGCAGGACGCATTTGAGACCAGCCTAAACAACATAGTGAGACCCCTACCTCTACAAAAAGAAAAATTTGCATTGGCTCTGTGCCTACTAAAAAAAAAAAAAGTAAGTCTCAAGGATAAAGCTATGTCTTAAAAGAAATGGAGAATTTGTTAACTGAAGGAAATCAGGATATTCCAACAAGGAATACAAGGTGAGCATGTTATATTTCCTCCCACTGCTGTAACACAACTGTGACTAATTTCCGTTAAGTCACCAAAACACCTTTACGGGCCATGCGAGTAGTTCCTCCAACTATACCCCAACACCCACATCCAATTCTACTCACAGAGTCATGGAACCTTAGGAGATAACTGGTTGGGGAGGTAGATGGGGGCCACCAAATATTATACTTAGGGAATAGCATATAATAAGCACCCAACATGCCATTACCTCCATATATTTTTTGAGATCAGCCAAATTCATAACCATTCCCGTAGCAGGGTCAATCTAAAGAATAAACAAAGGTGAATATTACTCTCATAGGCTCTCCATATTAAGTGGCTGGCAAATTATTAAAGGCAGTACAGTATGCAGAGACTGTGCCCACATTTGCCTTCATCCCAGAGATAATCACTGACCTCAGCGTGGAAGCACCATGTACTTCAAGCATCCTTTTCATTGTATAGCCCTTCTACCTGTCCACACACAGCACATTAAAGACAACACTTTGGTAGAGGAGAGGCCTGGAATGGCAGCAGTTCACCACACACACATATACAAGGGCCAACAATGAGCAATACTGACTGGAACAGTTTTCAACACAGAATCCACCACACTGGCTGAAAGAGAGCCCAGCAATCTGCAAAAACCACACAAATATTTTCTGCACATACCTCTCCATGTACTGTCACCACAACTATGGAAAGGAAACAAAATACCAAAAAAACAGCATGACTTTCAACAGATTAACATCCAAGCACAAGTTAGCAACATACAAGCACAAGTTGGCAACATAAATTATTAGATCTGTCCCCAAAAGCTATACTTAAATATTCACCCCAAAACATCTGTTATGTTAGTTAAGATTTTTTTTTTTTAATCAACCAAAGCAAGACGCAAGCAAGACAAAGGAGCTTAGTGGGAACTTTGGCTAAGCAGAGGCACTCAGCCAAGGCTGAAAAGGGTGTAAATTCTGCTTATAATGTTAATGCACTAGGGAGCATCAAGATGCTGCTCAATCTCTGCCTGTAGAATTAGAAATTGTACTTGCAGGAGTCCAGCTACACAGCAAGCTGGTCCAATACTGAACAGTACCTTTCTGAACAAGCAATACTACTGGGCCTTAAATTCTTATCCCCTTACTCACATGAACGTATACAAAGTCTAAAGTAATGCTTTGTAAATTAAAAAGTGCTTGTGAAAAGCATTTGAAAAATCTTGGCCAGGCGTGGTGGCTCATGACTGTAATCCCAGCATTTTGGGAGGCCGAGGCGGGAGGATAACCTGAGGTCTGGAGTTTGAGAGCAACCTGGCCAACATGGTGAAACCCCATCTCTACGAAAAATACAAAAATTAGCCAGGCGTAGCGGTGGGCAACTGTAATCCCAGTTACTCGGGAGGCTGAGGCTGAAGAATCGCTAGAACCTGGGAGGTGGAGGTTGTAGTGAGCAGAGATCACGCCATTGCACTCCAGCCTGGGCAAAAAGAACGCAACTCCGTCTCAAAAAAAAAAAAAAAAAAAAAGAAAAGGAAAAAAAATCTTGATCAGTGCTTTACACATTAATAACTTTCACGAATGTATGTATTTTAGTTCTATACAAATACCATTAGGTATTACGTGATAAGTAAGTACACTGAGACTGAGATACCATAGATTAAGGAAGAGACAGTAGCTAAACCAGTAATCCTAATCTGACACCTTGTCTGGTCTTTTTTTATGCCACCACCACACACTGTTTTATACTCTATGGCTTATGTAGCTGTTTTTTAAGGCAGGCTGTACCTCAAAGAATGAAGTCTCTTATCTTTGGACAAATTACCTACTTTCTTGGAACACTGCTGGCAAAGCTTTAGACCAAACCTATTTTTCTGCCATATATTACATTCCTAGGCAACATTCTCATTTTGTCAGTCATTACTTACTCAAAGAATAAAATCTAATTTTAACATTAGCCTCAGCCACACCTAATCAGAAAGAAATTTACTGTGTACTCTAGGACAAAGAAAAATGCTTTAAACCATTCATTGTTTTGGTCTGTTTGTAAGAGTTGACAATTGTAAGGTAAAACTTAACACACATCTAACCAAGACAACAGATCCTTTCATTCTGAACTCCCATTTAACTTCTCATTCAAGGCTCAAAGCATTCACACTGTGTCCGTAAGTTTTCCCATTCATTGTGTCTACATTTGCTGAATACTCTTTCATCCTTATTGAAGGGCTGAAATGTCATCAGTTTTTCTCTCACCTTTATAATTGTGCCCATGGCCATTTGGATTGCTGCATTTCCCAAACAGTTTCAAGTTTTCTTCATCACTCAGAAATTTACTAACCAAAAAAAAAAAAAAAAAAAAAAAGTCAGCATGACACAAGTATCACATCCAAACCCCCTTCTCTGTTCCTTATATTTATATTTGCTCTGATCTTTGAAAAGTCTCCCAATTTGTTATTACTTTAGCTCACCAAACGGGGAGTCAGAAATCATGTTGATTTTTATTACTCATGTATATGTCAGAAACCATGGCATACTCCCTACTTAGAAGACTGTACCATACAAATTAGCACAAACAAACCTTAACTTCAAGCCCCTTGTTCCACAGCAGCTGATCTGCTCATGGGACTTCCGCTTTTCAATTCAACATTACTGAGTGCCTACAATGTATTAGGCAAGTGCTGAATGAAATAACAGCATATAATGATAAACATAGATGGTGATCCGCAAAGTGGCTTACTATCTCATTTCTCTCAGAAGCTAAACTACTCATCCAGAAAAAAAAAAAATTTTTTTAATTTCGTGACCTGGTAAGTCTCCTATTTAACAATCTTGCTTTATACTATGTCTCAATGACTGCCTCATGAGAACTTTACCAATCTGTTGAGGAATATTCAAAGCAGGTGAATTTTTAAAATTACAAACTTTGACTGTTGTCTCAGACAGAAACCAAATTGCTTAATGAATGTTTACACTTACAGACATCCATTCAATTTTGCATCCTCTATGAGGCCTTACCACCCTCAGGTGTTTATGCCTCTTATTATACAACCCCTTTCTTTTTGAGATCCTCTTTATGATTCCCCCCAATGTAGTTTGGATGTTTGTCCCCTCCAAATCTCATGTTGAAACGTGATCCCCAATGTTGGAGGTGGGGCCTAGTGGGAGATGTTTGGCTTATGGGGGTGGATCCCTTATGAACGGCTTGGTGCCCTCCCTGAAGCAATGAGGGAGTTCTGGCTCTATTAGTTAATGGGCGAGCTGGTCGTTAAAAAGAGCCTGGCACCTCCTCTCCTCTCTCATGCTCCCTCACTTGCACTGTGAGTTGCCTGCTTGCTCCCCCTTCGCCTTCCACCACAAGTGGAAGCTCCCTGAGGCCTCCACAGAAGCAGATGCTGGTGCCATGCTTCTTGTACAGCCTGCAGAACCAAATAAATCTTTTTTCTTTACAAAACACCAATCTCAGTATTCCTTTACGGCAATGCAAAATGGAATAACACACCCCCACTTTCTCCTGCTCAGCCATTTCTTGTATTTAAAGTGCTAAAGTCTTTTGCACAAAATTCTCTCAGTGTACCCTCCACAACATAGGCCAGATTGGAAACCCCATACAAGACCCCTGATGCATCCGTTACCTAGCACAAGCCCTGACAACCAAGAAACAAAACCTCGTTTAGCGAATGGAGGGATGAATCCCGTTAGATAGCAATGGTCATCCTCATTTCACAGACGACGATACGGAAGGCCAGAGAGTGGAGCTTGTTAGTGAGTGGTAAAACTCCTCAAAATCAACTCTTCAGTGCATGCAAGCGGTATGTACGATCGGGTTTCAAATCCCAACTATGCTGCTTGCTTCGGAAACTGAACGTCTGGGCTAGTTGTTTTTTGTTTTCTTTTTTTTTCTCCTAGCCACTAGACCACCAGGGACTGGGTTCCTTCTGTCTTTGGTTTAAAAGGAGCTAAAACTTGTAATTACATTAGATATGGTCGCCAATGCTTCTGGCATACAAGATTAGCTAACATTTACTGGGTGTCTACGCCGCGGCAGGTACTGTATAACATAGGCGAGTTTAACACCGCTGAGCTTCACAACAACCCTGTGGCGTACACCAAGGGACTCCTAGGGGCAGAGACGTTTCTTCGAGACGCAGAGCCGGACGTGGGCCCCACACTCAGACGTGGGCCATCGCCCTCCGCAGTCGGCTCCGTTAACCATCAAGCTCCCCGACCCCTCCAGGGCTGGGGCCACTCCAGCCGCCATCGCGATGCTCGGGGCCGACCGAAGACCAGCGAACGCGACCAACGCGCGCCGCCCTCCGTACTCAGCGTCGCCCCAGAAGCCCCGGCGCCCCTCCCGGGCCCGACGTCAGCACGACCCCAGCCCCGCCCCGGTGACGTTCCGGGGCCCGGGGCCCGCCGCCCAGCGCTGCACCTGTGTGCACACTCTACCTGTACAATCGGTGGCTCGCGCTGAAGGAGATGCGGCGGGACACTTGCGCCTGGCGGGGACGGCCGCCACCTGCCGTGCTCATCTTCCCGGCGCTGTCTGCACTACTCGGCCGGCACCTCCTCCCGCCGCGCGGCCGGTGCCTCCTCCCACCGCGGCTGCGCAGTGCGCTTCGGCGCGCCCCTGAGAAGCGCGGCTCCACTTCCGCTCCGGACAATCCTGGCCTCCGTAGACTGTTAGGGGTGTCTCGCGCTGTCTGAATCTCTTCGAAGAGCAAGAGTTCGGACACCTAAACATACCCTGGAGCGGTCAGGGTGGGTGGGGACCCGGTGTCGTTGATCAGTTTGCCCCTCCTGAGGTCACGCCACGTAGTTAGGGCCCGTCTGGGCACACTTTGGGTCCTGAGTGACCTCTCTGAGCCTTCCCTCCCACTCTCTCCTGTAAAGCTCCAGTGGCTGGTGACTCTATTGGATGAGCCCCATGGCCGCAGTCTGCTTTATAGACCAAAAGGAACAGGAATTGAGCCAGGCGGGCGTGGTGGCGCACTCCTGTAGCCCCAGCTATTGAGAAGGAGAGGGATCCCTTCAGCCTAGGAGTCCAACCCGGGCAATGAAGAAAGACCCTCCTTTCTTTTTCTTTTCTTTATTGTTATTGTTATACTTTAAGTTCTAGGGTACTTGTGCACAATGTGCATGTTTGTTACATAGGTATACATATGTCATGTTGGTTTGCTGCACCCATCAACTCGTCATTTACATTAAGTATTTCTCCTAATGCTATCCCTCTTCCAGCCCACTACTCCGTGACAGTCCCCGGTGTGTGATGTTCCTCGCCGAGTGTCCATGTGTTCTCATTGTTCGACTCCAACCTATGAGTGAGAACATGCGGTGTTTGGTTTTCTGTCCTTGTGATAGTTTGCTGAAAATGATGGTTTCCAGCTTCATCCATGTCCCTGCAAAGGACATGAATTCATCCTTTTTATGGCTGCATAGTATTCCATGGTGTATATGTGCCATGTTTTCTTAATCCAGTCTATCACTGATGGACATTTGGGTTGGTTCCAAGTCTTTGCAATTGTGAATAGTGCTGCAATAAACATAACGTGTGCATGTGTCTTTATAGTAGTAGCATGATTTATAATCCTTTGGGTATATACCCAGTAATGGGATCACTGAGTCAAATGGTATTTCTAATCCTAGATCCTTGAGGAATCGCCACACTGTCTTCCACGATGGTTGAACTAATTTACACTCCCACCAACAGTGTAAAAGCATTCCTATTTGTCCACATCCTCTCCAACATCTGTTGTTTCCTGACTTTAATGATCGCCATTCTAACTGGCGTGAGATGGTATCTCACTGTGGTTTTGATTTGCATTTATCTGATGACCAGTGATGAGCATTTTTTCATGTGTCTGTTGGCTGCACAGATGTCTTCCTTTGAGAAGTGTGTGTTTGTATCCTTTGCCCCCTTTTTGATGAGGTTTGATTTTTTCTTGTAAATTTGTTTAAGCTCTTTGTAGATTCTGGATATTAGCCCTTTGTCAGATGGGTAGATTGCAAAAATTTTCTCCCGTTCTGTAGGTTTCCTGTTCACTCTGATGGTAGTTTCTTTTGCCATGCAGAAGCTCTTTAGTTTAATTAGATCCCATTTGTCTATTTTGGCTTTTGTTGCCATTGCTTTCGATGTTTTAGTCATGAAGTTCTTGCCCATGCCTATGTCCTGAATGGTATTACCTAGGTTTTCATCTAGGGTTTTTATGGTTTTCGGTCTAAATAAGTCTTTAATCCATCTTAAGTTAATTTTTGTATAAGGTGTAAGGAAGGGATTCAGTTTCAGCTTTCTACATATGGCTAGCCAGTTTTCCCAGCACTGTTTATTTAATAGGGAATCATTTCCCCATTTCTTGTTTTTATCAAGTTTGTCAAAGATCAGATGGTTATAGATGTGTGGTGTTATTTCTGAGGCCTCTGTTGTGTTCCATTGGTCTATATATCTGTTTTAGTACCCGTACTATGCTGTTTTGGTTACTGTAGCCTTGTAGTATAGTTTGAAGTCAGGTAGCGTGATGCTGCCAGCTTCATTCTTTTTGCATAGGATTAAGACCCTCATTTCTTTAAAAAAATTTTTAAACAGAACAGGAATTTGAGAGCACAAATAAGACCACGTGGCAACAGTCCTTTTGACTGTTGTGTAATGATTCTTACTAAGGGAAATTCTAAAGCCATTCTTATCCACAAGTGTGTATGGACCCATTTATCACTCTGGGTGGCATAGTGTGAACAAAGGCACCCGTGAACACATATTAGCAATTCTTCTGCCAGTGTAGACACATTGAGAGTGAAAGGATCTTGTTTCCTCACATCTACTCACAAGGGTGTCCAAACTACACACAGTTCCTAGAATCATGTCACCTCTTGCTTCCATTCATTCTTTCATTAAATGTTTATTGGGAATCTACTATGTGGCTGGCATTGTTCCAGGTACTAGGGAGGACAGCTCCACTGTATATGAGAAAAATCAAATGATGAAAAGCAGGACAAGTCAGTGATTAATAATGGACTTGGAAAAGTTTTCTTTAAAAAGAAAGATAAAATCATGGGGGTAATAGAAATAAGCTCAAATGGTGATTTCCCTCAAATATCTCCTACTTATAGCTATATATTCTGTTTGTTCTACATTAAACTACTAACAGGTTATTTAGCAAACACTCTCCATACATTTTCAGATGTTTGTCTCATCTACCCCACTGTACTGTAAAGAAAAAACTTCAAAGAACATGTAGAGATTTTTGAGATAGACTATTTAATTCAATACTTTCACTTTACAGATAAGAAAATACAGCCCCAGATAAGTGAATTACTATTGCAAGATCACTCAGAACAGAAACATTATTTCCCAGGTATGGACTATCTCAGTGATAAATACTCTCTAGCAGTCAGTGGTTACACAAATAGTTGCCCATTCCAAAACCAGCTTAAAGAATCAAAATAAAATGAAAGAGTAAGAGAAATTTCTGCAAAATTGTTTTTATTAATAATACTTGTTTTAGTAAAATATTTCACTGCATTTGCAGAGTTGAAGTTTAACCTGTTTGGAAATAGGATTGTTGCACATGTATTGAGATGAGGTCTTTAGTATGAGCCCTAATCCAACGTGACTGATGTTCTTGTAGAAAGGGGAAACTTGAACTCAAAAACTGACACATACGGAGGGAAGATGATGTGAAGACACGGACAACACCATCTGCAAGCCCAGAAAAGGGAACTGGAACAGCTCTTTCTTCAAAGCCCTCAGAAGGAACAAACCAACTTTGATTTTAGACTTCTAGCCTCCAGAATTGTGAGACAATTCATTTCTGTTAAGACCTCTGTGGTACTTTGTTATGGCAGCCATAGCAGACTAACACAGTAACCAATAAGCAAATAACATTTCTTTTAGCTTTCAGTTCTTTGAGATCAACAGCCGTTTAGGTACAGTTCCCACTTCACTCTTGCAACATTTACTGGCTTGTCCTCGGCTGTGTTGTCTCAGAAGGCTAACTTCTATTAAAAGATCCCATAAGGGACCCTGGCCAGCCTTCCTGCCTCAACTCCCCTGCTGTCTCCAGGGCAGGTGGCAGGCATGGGTACTTGCATTTCACTGGAGTGGTTTCTTGGATCTCTGAGGGGAAGGAACAGCAGAAGAGGCCCTTCTTCCTCACCCAGGGTGAAGGGTGGTTGGGGCCAGGAGTTTGGACCCTCCGGGTCTTGGGGGAAGAGCTGGGTAATACCTGGTGTCTGAGTGATTTTCTGCAGACCCTTCACCTCTTCAAGGACCACTCATCCTCCTTTCAGCCCCCTTTATGGGGGCTGGGCAGCTGTGGAGCCAGCCACAGAGGCTCTTACAGAAGCGAGGCCTGGAGTAGCCTGCACCAAGTAGCAGGGTCAGGGTTCATGTGCTCCTCCTCCTGCCACAGGGGCTGCACATCCCATTGCCCCACTACTGCTTTCTGTCTCCCTCTGTCTAGCTTCCAGGACAGGAAGCAGGCCCCACCTAGGGCTGCAGGCAGTCTGGCCTGTGCCAGCATGGGCTCCTGTGCCCACCAGCCTCAAAGGTGCTGTGCTTTGTGCTCTTGGCTGCTGTGCTGGGACAGAATGGGATGCCAGGAAGAGAAGAAAGGGGGTGCAGTCTGAGGCCACCACCCCCCTTCCTATCTAAGGGAGGGCTGAAGACAAGGGGCTGGCATTCAGTGGGCAACAGAAAGGAGAGGCCCCTTGAAGCTGCTCAATCAGAGGCCCCCTGTCCCTCCTTTTGCCCTCCTCAGGACTAAAGACCTGGAGGGGCTGGGTGTGGGGCTGGCTTTTGGAGTGTGGAGGTGAATATGTGGGAGCAGAGATTATGAATAACTCAGGGCAGTGCACGGTGCACCAAGAGCAGGGCTGTGTGTGGGAGGCTGCGGCCAAGATTGCCTCAGCTCCTCCCCCTCAGGCTGGAAGGATAGCACAGGCTGGGGGCTGAGGGTGGAGGGTCTCAGCTCTGCTGCCCCCACCCCGGTACTAGCCTAGCTTCCCAAGCTGTGGCTTAGAGGATAGTTGGCTTCCTGCCTCTCTCCTCTAAAGCAGCAAGTCTGGGAAATCCTGGGGTGAGTGGAGTCACCCCACCCCTAGTTGCTGGCAGAGACTGAGACTAAAGCATCACTTAATAAACCCTCCCAAGCCCCCCCTAAAAAAGATCCCATAAGATACTCCAATGAACATATATTGGCAAGGCAGGCCCCATATCTATCACCTTCCAGTCCTCATTCACTTATTAAGTTTAAAAAAAAAAAAAAAGAAGTGTTTATTTAACATCTACTGAATGCCAAGTGCACTGCTAAGTGCCAGGGGCGCAGTATGAGTAACAAACACATGGTCCCTGTCCTCATACAGTTCAAGCTAGTGAGGGAGCTAAACACAGAAATAAATCATGATAAACTAAAAAAACTCAGTAATTCTCCCTCAGGAAGTAAAAGAAGGCTTCAAAGAAGAGATGACTTTTGAGCTGGATTTTAAGATTCGCCAGGTAGGTAAGGGAATTCCAGGAAGAGAAGACAATGTAAGCAAAGGAATGTGGAAAAGTACAGCTTGTTTAGTGCATATTGATGAGTTCTTGGCTACAATGGGGAGATAGGTGAGAGGTAAGATTGGAAACATTGACTGGGGACCAAATTATTGAAAGGTCTTGAATGCCATTTAAGTATAAAGGAAAGGAAGCTTCACCCCCTTATCTCCCTCCTAGCTCCCCACAAAAAGGGAATTTTCATCTGCTTAAATCACATTTCCAGGCACTGGTTGGGCCTTGTTTACACACAAGCAGGCCTACAATGTGTTAAAAGTACCACACATAGTGTTGCTTACTCTCCAAAGGAAGAAAAAAAAAATTCGAGCCAAAGCTCTCCCCTACTCCCACCCTGCCCCAAGGTGGCCTAGCTGGCTGGTTCCTATGTTTTTCTACTGCTTGCGTCCTGTGGAGGACCCAACCTGCCCATTTGCCTCTTCCTTTTCCCCTCAATTGTGCACCACTTATTCCCTTTCCTTGAATCCTCAGACACTGGCTAGTGGTAAGAGTTGGGCTTAGGGAGAAGAAGAGGCCCAGCCTATGCTTTGAGCCTTGGTCATATGCTCACTCAATTTTACCATAACTTTCTCCCTTGGATACCGGCATATGTGCCTAGATTATAACATGCCACTGATCTTTTTTTGTCTTCTCCTTCAGGAAACAGCAGAGCCAAGGCAGAATTCAGGTATCCTTAGGTCAAAATCTTATGATTATACTGCTATCCTTCATATGTCTGAACTTCATTCCCTGTATATTAAGACAGATATTTATAAACAGAGGAAAGATGTGACAGATCTATGGACTTGCCAGAGGTCATCCAGAGTCTCCTTCACCCTTCAGATCTAGGAAGATCAATCAAATCTCCATGTTTTGTCTGAGGAAGTACAATGAACGCCTTTTCAGGGACTTGTGTAAAAGGAAACAGTGGGGGACTTACACTCTCGGTTACCTGAGGCTCTTTGCTCCTGCATCTGCTGTATTCCTTCTGTTTAGGCATCTTCTTGCCATTCTAAACCTGCTACTATGTTCTGCATCTCACAAACCCAGACATGGAACTCAGCCCTTTTACTTTATTGCCACAGTGCAAAACCCCACACGTGGCATTTGCATGTATGGAACACATTACTAAAGAAGATAGGGCCTGTGAAGTTTGAAGTGACTCTTAAGGAAAATTAGACAGGCAACTATGTTAGTCCAGGACCGTGCAGAGAGCCTAACCATGAGTTCAAAGGTGCCCCATATTGTATGTCTGCGGGTCTTCTCCAGAGCATTCACCATGCAGAAGGAGCATAAACAGTTTAACTGGTCCTGGAATGGAGTTCAGCAGAGGGAAGGGAATATAACTGAAGGAAAAGGGAACAAGGGATTTTGGGGGTGTTGGCAAGAGTGTGGTTTAAGTGACAGACTTTGCCTGCTTACAGCTGTCGATAAGAACAGGCAGGGTTTAGAAATGTGGAGATTATATGGTCTCTAGTGCCACCTGTTGTCCAATTAAATGAAGAACTACTGGCTTGTCAACAATCCCTGAGAACTATACATTAGAGATTAGAAGAAATGCCTGATTTTAATGATGTTCCTCAAAATAACCTCCCAAAGCAGAGCTGAGGGTGGGGTGGGGGTAGTGGGTGGTCCATAGGAGGTTGTGCAATTGCAGTAGCATCTGCTGTGGACAGCAGAGAAAAAAACAGTTTAAAAGAAGCCTCCATGCAGGATATGGCCAACTTCCTGTCTTCTGAGTATCTTAGGACCAATGGTGATAGGCAGACTGTGATGGAAAGAATGAAGTGCTTTTCAGATTTATATTCAAAGTCTACTATCTATGATCATTTGTATTTCTTCTCCTAGGACCTCTGTCACCCACCTATCCGATGATGGTAATTGACAGGGCAGGAGCACCTTTATACTGGACAAACTGCCATTTTAAGTTCCAGCTCCCTTTCTAGCCTCATGCGTTTCAAGGAAATCACTTCTAACTACAAGCAAACAGAAAAAGCAGCCAGTAAAACACAAATAAAACAGCTCAGACACAGAGGGAAGTAGGGGGAAAGTCTCTTGGGTAACTGCCAAATTTCACTCTCACACAATGGGCCCCAGTAAAACAGTGGGCCTTAATAAGGACATTCCTCTCCCTTCAGGGGCACTAAGATAGGGAAGCTAAAAGCAGACTTGGGGGGTATACCTGCAGCTGAAAAAAAAAAAAAAACCCACAACTCTCCCTCCCAAATAAGCACAACAAAGAAACACAGAAGCAGTCCAAGCCTCTAATATACTCTTCCACCCTGAATCCTTAAAAACTCTTAGTCTGTAAAAAAAAGTTTGCCTCTAATCTAACTCAGTCAAAAGGCTCCTCTCGGGTTTGTTTCCTCTAAAATAAACCTGTCTTATCTGGCAAGCCACCTTTCACGTTTCTTTCATCTTTCTTTAATTCTTTCGGTAATGACCAAAACACATGAATTTTTCTTTCATGTATTCTTATTATTATGTAGAGGAAAATATATCCAATAAATGAAATTTAAAACACTCTTTGAAAGGTTGTATCAATACTTTCTTAATTATTTCAAGGAAGAGCCATAAAATATATATATATGAAACCATAGTTATCTTATGAATTCTGCTTTGTGGTGTTTTTTCTTAAGAAACATGAGTGCCGGCCGGGTGCCGTGGCTCATGCCTGCAATCCCAGCACTTTGGGAGGCCGAGGCAGGCGGATCACAAGGTTAGGAGATTGAGATCATCCTGGCGAACACGGTGAAACCCCATCTCTACTAAAAATACAAAAAAATTAGCCGGGCATGATGGTGTGCGCCTGTAGTCCCAGCTACTCGGGAGGCTGAGGCAGGAGAATGGCGTGAACCTGGGAGGCAGAGCTTGCAGTAAGCCAAGATCACACCACTGCACTGCAGCCCGGGTGACAGAGCGAGACTCCGTCTCCAAAAAAAAAAAGAAAGAAAGAAACATGAGTGCCAAAGTTTTATTTGTTCATTTCTTACATTTGAAATATTCCTCAATGACATCCTTGGCTTAAGATTCTTTGACATAGACCTTAACTGCTGCACAACTGCAGTCAACCACTTTTGGGGGTTTCCCTCTCAGTTTTACAGAGGCCTACCCATTCCCCTGGTTTCTCGTTGTCATCAATCTTAATTAGGGTTAGTTGGTGTTCAGCACCATGGGCCTCCACCAACTTGACATACATAGGCTCATTGCAGTTGGGTGCAGGCAGACAAAGGTGGGCTTGGTGCTTGTCTAAGGCTTTGGCAGCTTCACAAATTGCACATGCTAGGCCATCATGGGTGACGGCAGTCTTCCGCACCTCTTATAAAGTAGTGTTAATGGTCATGACACCTCCAGCAGCAATGCCTCCGTTGGCCATGATGGTGTATTAAGGGTAAAACAGAACCTCATATGCACTTGAGCCTCTGCCATGGTGTAACTTGGCAGTGGCAAGGAAATAGTGAATTATGGTTTTAACAGAAATTTTTAAACCAAATGTCTATTTGGGACATTGGTTTGGGAGGTACAGTGCCCTTTATGCTCTGTCTTTTCTATACAGTGCATTCTTTGTTTTTCTTTTTATTTTTATGTTAGATTCTGGGGTACATGTGCAGGCTTGTTACATGAGTATATTGTGTGATGCTGAGGTTTGGGCTTCTAATGATCCCATCACCCAAATAGGGAACATAGTATTCAATCAGTAGCTTTTTAACCCCTGCCCCTCTTCCTCCTTGCCCCGCTTTTGGAGTCCTCAGTGTCTATTGCTCTAGTCTTTATGTCCAAGTGCACATTTATTTTAAACCTAGTTTCCAGACCTTGTGGTTGTCCCATCAGATGGGTATGAAGGTACCATGGAATCCATAAGGCATCTGCACAGGTACCTCTGCTCGGCCCAACTCTTCAAAGTTCTTGGCATCCAAAACTAGGAGAAAATTGCTTTCATTCTAGAAAAGGAAAGACAATATTGAAAATTATCTTTTTTTCATCAAAAATTTGCCTGTCTCCTCCACTAAGCTGTAAAATTCCTAATGGAGAGACCATGTTGGTCGGGCACAGTGGCTCACACCTGTAATCCCAGCACTTTGGGAGGCTAAGGTGGGTGGATTGCTTGAGCTCATCATTGAAGACCAGCCTCGGCAACATGGCAAAACCCCATCTCTATAAAAAATAAAAAAATTAGCCAGGCGTGGTGGTGCACACCTGTAGTCCCAGCTACTCAGAGGCTGATGCAGGAGGATCACTTGAGCCTGGGAGGCAGAGGTTGCAGTGGGCTGAGATTGTGCCACTGCATTCCAGCCTAGGTGACAGAGCGAGACCCTGTCTTTAAAATAAAAGAAAGAGAGAGAGAGAGAGAAAGAGCAAGACCATGTCTTACACATCTTCACATCTCTCCCCAGAACCTAGCACAGTGCCTCACCTATACACTCACAAATTGTTTCCTCAGTTGCTGAACTGGACTGGAAAGGATATCATAGCTAAAGAAGTTCATACCTAGAGCAAATAAATTAAGTTGTTTCTATCAATCACCTTCATAGGATTTGAGTTTAATATTTTTGCTTGCACCTTGCCAATCTTTTAAAAGACAGAAACTCTTTCTTCCAAGTTAGAAATGCCTCCATTTTGTGTTACTTTGTAGCTGTTCAAAGGGCAGCATTGCAAGGCAGACTGAGATCCGCCAAATCGAATTCCAGGAATGGCAAGTGCATGGCATGAGAACAAAGTCCTCCTAAAGCCCATGACAGATATCACTAATTGATCACAGCCTTTCTTACTGAATGCTTAAAAGGCCTCAGAGCCCTGCACCCCAGGCAGCCACTAATAATTAATCAAAGCTGATATTCAAAGTGAACCTATTTGCCATAAGATTGCCCTAGACAAGGAGTCAGATAGTGAATAGTGTTATTGGGACACTGGACCAGGACTGATGACATTGGACTTGGAGGTCAGTTCATTGAAATTGGCAGCACACATGATGGTATAAACATCAGATCGGAAATCAAAAGACTTGGATTTAAATACTGGCTTTACCACTATGAGATCTGATGCAAGTTTACTTCAACTTCTTTACTTTACAAATTCCACATGTATAAAATGGTATCCCACAAAGTTGTTTTGATAACTGAATATGTGTAAGTAGTTTGTAAATAACAAATTCCTATGCAAATACAAATTGTTATTATGGTCTTCCAAACAGAACTTTAAAACAACAAACTATGGATTGAGACAAAAGGGTATGTAAATAGTAAGAAGGGGAAGAGAAGAGAAAAGGAATCAAAGTAAACTATCGACAGATGAGTGTGCATCCTTGATTTATCAGATGACTTAGTGCTACTTTTCTTTCTGACTAGTGATAGGGAAATATATTTACCTGGTTGGGAGTGATCACCACAGAAAGAATAACCCCACCATCTTCTTCATTGGTTCCTGGTACTGGAACAAAAACAGGTTCTGAGGGATAAAAGCCATCTTCTCTCCAAACCTGCAAGTCCCGAAAAAAGCATTCGATAAAAGGCCAGTAGCAAGTTGGTAACTTTCTATGGCTTTTGTCACTTCAAGCATGAATTTGGCTGTGATATAGTTTGGATGTGTGTCCCCTCCAAAGCTCATGCTGAAGTGCTGAGCCCAGTGCTGAAGGTGGGGCCTAGCAGGAAGTGCTGGGTAATGGGGGCCAGTCCCTCATGAATAGCTTAGCACCATCCACTTGGTGATAAGTGAGCTCTAGCTCTATTAGTTCATCTGAGAGGTAGTTGTTTTAAAGGAGTCTGGCCCCTCCTCCAATCTGTCTTGCTCCCACTCTCTCACCATGTGACATGAGGCTGCCCCTTTGCCTTTGCCTTCTGCCATGATTGTAAGCTTTCTGAGGCCTTATCAGAAGCTGAGCACATGCTGGTACCACGCTGGTACATCCCACAGAACTATGAGCCAAATAAGCCTCTTTTCTTTCTCTTTTTTTTTTTTTTTTTTTTTTTTTTTGGAAGAGTTTTGCCCTTTTGCCAGGCTGGAGTGCAGTGGCACAATTTCAGCTTACTGCAACCTCTGCCTCCCAGATTCCAGCAATTCTCCTGCCTCAGTCTCCCTATTAGCTGGGATTACAGGCATGTGCCACCACGCCCAGCTAATTTTTGTATTTTTAGTAAAGACAAGGTTTCACCATGTTGGCCAGGATGGTCTTGATCTCCTGACCTTGTGATCCACCCCTCCTCGGCTTCCCAAAGTGCTGAGATTTCAGGCGTGAGCCACCGCGCCCGACCTAAACCTCTTTTATTTATAAATTATCCAGCCTCAGGGATTTCTTTATAACAACACAGAAGACAGTAACACAGGCTGTCAATAGAATAATCCAAAAATAAAAGAATCAGCCCTACTGAGTTGAATATAGGAGAAAGAGAGGGAGTCTTTGCAGTCCCAGATTCCATCACCATCAAACACAATTTGTATAACTATAATTTGCCATCTACTTTAAATATAGGTGTCCCAACAACCCTAACCCCATAATTGCTCCCAAAATAACATCAAGATCAAACATAGAATTATTTTGCTGGGCTTGGGGTCAATTTGGATTCCCTAGAAGGAACATACCGCTAACTTAGATGATTTCATAGTTCTCAAACTCAATAAAAGAAAATGGCTGAGCTGCTTAAATACTGAAGAATCTTAAGAGCTACTTTAAACAGAACTAATTCAAAGGGAAGAACAGGTCTCTGAAAAGTTCAAAAAGGAGAGTTTTTCATCACCTTCAGTGTCTTATTCACCACATCAACCTTGATCAGAGAATCCCCCACCAAATGCCGAAAGCCACAGCCATAAAAGAAACGATACTTTTTGCCACTGAATTGACCATAGTAGATCTGAGGAAATTCAATGCCTCCTTCCTTTTCTAGGTCCTCCTGATGTAGATTTTCATGAGAGCACCAGATCTAAAAGAGATTTCAAAAGGATTTGTAGTGGTTGCTTAATTCTTATTTTCCTCTTATGTATGTCAGTGAGGAGCCTCATACTTATAAAGGTTTGTGACAGGGCGTGGGAACTGAGGTTCTACGTCATTTTTTAATATTGTTCCTCTTTCCATCATATGTATGGATGCATAATGATTATCAAGTTTTATTAATAAGCTGTCAAATGACATAGAAGGTAGACATATGCTTTTTATTCTTCTAAAACTAAGGCATTGACAGCTACACAATGATAGACCTGTGCTAAGCACATATTATCTAAAAGGCAGGGATTGCAGCTGGACGCGGTGGCTCAAGCCTGTAATCCCAGCACTTTGGGAGGCTGAGGTGGGAGGATTACCTGAGGTCAGGAGTTCGAGACCAGCCTGGCCAACATGGCAAAACCCCATCTTAGCTAAAAATACCAATACATTAGCCGGGCGTGGTGACAGGTGCCTGTAATCCCAGCTACTCGGGAGGCTGAGGCAGGGGAATTGCTTAAACCCAGGAGGCAGAGGTTGCAGTGAGCTGAGATGGCACCACTGCACTCCAGCCTGGGCAACAGAGCGAGACTCCATCTCAAAAAATAAAAATAAATAAAAAATAAAAGGTGGGGATTGCTAATGTCAAGCTCAAATGAATAGACATTCCACAACCATAAGACAGTTCCATATCTCTGTTTCAAAGCACAGGAAGGATAGATAAACACTGTGTTCATTCCCACTGTTTCTGCAATTCTTGTGCAAGCAGTGTTAAATGACCTTACCCTGCTCGGATGAATGTCATAAAAGTTATTGGGTACCAAACATTTTGGAAAACAGCTAAGGAATAAAGTAACACCACTAAAGTTCAAAGTCTTACTCTAATGTCTGTTCATAGCATACCGTTCCATCAGCCTGTTTCACAGCACTGGCTGAAGTATAGGACAATGGACTCAGGTTGTCTCCCTCAGGAGCATTCAAACTGACATTTAAAGGCAAAACAAACCTTCGAGGGAAAGATCTGCCTGCTGACTTATAGACCTGTTTGGGAAGAAGAAAGAGATGAAAATTGTCATTCATATGGTTTAACAGTATGTCCCAATAATTTAGATCCAGTCAACATCATTGGCATTCCTAAATATTTAAATAAATGATAATTTCCATTCATTCATCTACTTAATATTTGTTGAGTACCTACTATAGCCCAGGCAGTTTTAGACACTGGAGATACAGTCATGAATAAAGCAAGACTGACCTCATATAATTTATATTCTAGTGGAGGAATAATAAAGAAATTTAAAAATTAGAAAATATTTGTGGCCAGGTACGGTGGCTCCTGCCTGTAATCTCAGCACTTTGGGAGGCCGAGGCAGGCGGATCACCTGAGGTCTGGAGTTCAAGACCAGGCTGACCAACATGGAGAAACCCTGTCTCTACTAAAAATACAAAATTAGCCGGGCATGGTGGCGCATGCCTCTTAATCCCAGTTACTCAGGAGGCTGGGGCAGGAGAATCGCTTGAACCTGGAAGGCAGAGGTTGCAGTGAGCCGAGATCGTGCCATTGCACTCCAGCCTGGGCAACAAGAGTGAAACTCCATTTCAAAAAAAAGAAAAATAAAAAAAAGTGTTATTTAATTAGCATCAAATAAACAAATGGTTATATAACAAAGAGTAAGAAACTAGAGAGTAACAAGGGGTGCTTTCCTTCTTCAGATTTGATCAGGTAGACCTCTGTGTGGAAAAGGATCAACTTTGCAGGCCTGGGTTGCTCAGACCCTGCACTATTTCAAGAATGACTTGTTTTCATGACTGACCTTGGGCTGGCTACCGGGAACTGAGTTCTTGGGATGTTCTGCCTGATAAGAGTGTTCTTGCATGTGCCAGTCCTTAAGTGACTCTGCAGTAGTTTGTCCAGACAGTTTATGCTAACAATGTGATTTATAAGGAACACCTCCATTCCCTTGAGCATCTGGAACATCAGTAACTGAGGGTCATCATGTAGGGGTTTTATGCTTATATAACTCATCCCCAATAAAAACCCTGGACAAGCAGGCTTGGGTGGGTTTCTTTGGCAGATAACATTTTACACATGTTGTCACTAGTTCCTGGAGGAATTAAGCGTGCCCATTGTGACTCTACTGGGAGAGGACTCTTGGAAGCATGTACCTGGTTTCCTCTAGACTGCATCTCATGCACCTTTTTCTTTTGCTGATTTTGTTTTTTATCCTTTTACTGTAATCATGAGTCATGATTACATGATACTCATCACTATATACAGTCTTTTTGAAAAATTTTAATAAATATGGGGTCTCACTATGTTGCCCAGGCTTGTCTTGAACTCCTGGGCTCAAGCAGTCCTCCTGCCTTGGGCTCCCAAAGTGCTGGAATTATAGCCATGAGCTACCTCGCCCAACCTATATTGAGTCTTATGAATCCTCCTAATGAATCATCAAACCTAGGGGTGATCCTGGGAACTCCCAACACAGCTTCTCTGTAGAAATGATGTTTAAGCAGAAAACCCAAATAAAGTAAGTGTGTTTTTCCTGACAGTAAGTGCTTTAAGCCCATTTTCCTCTCCTGAAATACTGTAGGATGGAGAACAAACTGCATCATTTCCTCCCATATACCTAGTCTATACGATCTCTGTAGCATGCAGAAATATTTTTAGTGAGTAAAGATTTAGTGCTATTCTTAAGATTCATAAAGAGTTATTAGCTTTTTTTCTAAAAGGTCACCATGACTTCAGAAGTTACTAGCTTTTAAAAAATGACTTTAATTATATTTACAATTGTTTTCTCTTGCAAAACCAAAAGACACATCACATAATGGTAGATTACATCATATGGATCAACTACCCCATTGAAAACAACTAGAAATGATGGACAAAATGTTTAAAACAGCTGCCTGAAGGACTGGTGACCTAAAAAGACAGTGAAGAACAAAGGGGCCAGGTTTGGGATGAAACAGAAACCCACAGAAACCAACTGGATATGGAGGCAAGTTTTCCCATACCTATTTAAACATATGCTCAACATTATTAGTCATTAGGAAAACGCAAATCAAAACCACAATGAGATATCACTTCACACCCATAAGGATGGTTATTTTTTTAAAACCCAGAAAATAATAAATGTTAGTAAAACTATGAACAACTAGAACTCTTGCGCATTGCTGATGGTAATGAAAAATGCTGTGGCCACTGTGGAAAAATAGCTTGGTGGTTCCTCAAAAAATTAAACATAGAATTACACAATCTAGCAATTCCACTTCTAAAATATACACCTAAAAGAACTAAAAAAAGGAACTTGGAGATTTGTATGCCAGTGTTCATAGCAGCATTATTCTTAATACCCAAAAGATGGAAACAACCCAAGTATCCATCAACAGATGAATAAACAAATATAGTGTGTGTGTTTGTGTATACAATCGAATATTATCTAACCTTAAAAAGGAATGAAATTCTGATACGTGCTACAACATAGATGAACCTTGAAAACATTACACTAAGTGAAATAAGACAGACACAAAAGGACAAGTATTGTATGATCCCACTTATATGAAGCAGCTAAAATAGGCAAATTCATAGAAACAGAAAGTAGAATAGAGGTTGCCAGGGACTGGAGGCGGGGGAACAGGGAATTATTGTTTAATGGGTACAGAGTTTCTGTTTGAGATGATGAAAATGTGCTGGAAATGGATATTGGTGATGTTGCACAACATTGTGAATTTACGCAATGCCACTGAATTGCACACCTAAAACGGTTAAAATGGTAAATTTAATATTATATATATAATTTTTACACTGTAAAAAAAGAAATAATATGGAGATTTCCCATGTATTCGTCATCCTCTCTTGCCAGTGGGAATGTCTTGCATAATTACAATACAATAGCACAACTGAGAAATTTACATTGAGGCAATCCACCAACCTTATTCTAGTTTAACATGCATTCATTTGTGTGTGTGTGTGCACGTGTATTTAGTTTTATGCTATTTTATCATGTGTAAATTCATGTACCTACCACCCCACTCAAGATACAGAACAGATCCACCACCACAAGGATCCTTCACGCTACTTTAGGACCCATAGCAACTCGCTCATCCCTTAACCTTAAAGAGAAAGACTTTCCAATAGTTTTGAGGGCTAGAGTGACAACAGTTTGAGTTTACGATTTTCCAAGAAGAGGAAGACCTAGTAAACCTCTAGTCCTTTGGGTTTGGACCTCATAGGTCTGTACCCTATGAATTAGAATAAACAAGAAATAGTCCAGTACTTGCATGGACTGAATCCTGCTTCAAATTATACAAGCAAGTGAAATTCTTCTCTAGAGGAAGATAACATCATCCTGTGTCTCAAAATATTTCCACAATTTTTAAAACACAATATTCTGCAAATGAAAGAAAATAACCAGCACATGAAAAGACAAAGCAACATGATTAAAAACCAAAATAAACAACAGATAACAGAAACAGAATCACAGAAGATCCAGATGATAGTTATCAGACTTTAACTATTCTAAATATGTTTAAGGAAATTATTTTAAACTGAGAATTGTGGTAGAGAACTATAAACTGGAAAAGAGAACCAAATCAATGTTCTAGAACTGTAGATCTACTTATAAGGAAATTTTCAGGTCTGGAAGCCTTTACTGTTGAATTATTCCAAAAATTTAATAATGTCAATCCTATACAATATCATCCAGAGAGAAGGAAAAGAGAGAACAATTCCCAACTCATTGTATGAGACTAGAAAAACCATGAAACCAAAACCTAGGACGAACATTACAGAAAAGAAAAAAAATTAAAAGGCAATTTTATTCATGAACATAGATACAAAGAATTCTAAACAAAATAGTAACAAAGCAAATCCTGCAATATATTTAAAAGAAAATACAATGCGACCAATTGGGATTTACTTCAGGAATGGAAGGTAAGCTTAACATTCAAAAATCAATCAATGGCTGTTATGAACATTTTTTAAGGAATCAGTCAATGTACTTCACCACATTCACAGAATAAAGGATAAAAGTTATATGATTATCTCAATAGTGCAGAAAAAAAAAAACAGTTGATAAAGTCCAATATCCATTCATGACAAAAAATCTCAGTAAACTAGGAGTAAAAGGGAACTCTCCTAATCTAATAAAATGTATCTTTTTAAAAAGATGTCCACACAAAACCTGCTAACAAATATTTATAACAGCTTTATTCATAATTGCCAAGATTTGGAAGCAACCAAGATGTCCTTGAACAAATGAATGAATACACAACTGTGGTACATATTTCAGTGATAAAAAGAAATGAGTTCTCAAGTCACAAAAGACACAGAGGAACCTTAGATGCATATTGCTAAGTGAAAAAAGTCAGTCTGAAAAGTCTACATACTGTATGATTCCATGTGACATTCTGGAAAAGTCAAAACTACAGAAATAGTGAAAAGATCAGTGGTTTCCAGGGGCTGAGAGAAGGAAAGGGGAAGGGAAGAATAGGTGGAGCCCAGGGAGATTTGCAGGGCAGTGAACTATGCTGTATGATATTGGTAGATACATGACATTATGCATTTGTCAAAACCTGTAGAACTGTACAACACAGACCTAACCATCATGTACAGTATGGACTTCAGTTAGTAACAATGTAACACTCCTCCACTGATACATCAGTTGTAATAAATGTATCATACCAACACAAGATGTTAATACCAGGGGAAACTAGCAGGAGGAGGAAATATGGAAACTCTCCATACTTTCTGCTTGATTTTTCTTTAAACCTAAAACTGCTCTAAAAAACAGTCTTTTTTTTAATTATTATTTTAGAAGTCCTTTATTGTAAAGGTAATTCTTTTGTCTGATGACAAACGGCAGCCACAGTGATTATTCTGGATCTCCACATTAGACAAATTCAATTTCTTCTTGAGACACAAGTTTACTTCTGTATTTCTGAGGTAATGTTTTCATTACTTCTGCAGTGTCTGGTGCATCTGCAAATCTAGTAACTTACTTCCCTTAGAATGGTGGGAGATTGCAGAAAGTGAGATGGTTGTC